TTATGATAAACTTTCGATAAATCAACAAATCATCAAGAACACCACAAATATATAGCTGATGAAAGAAAATTATGTTTTTAGCAATATAGCTGGAATACAGCAGTACAAATACTTGGGCACACACCAAATTAAAGCATGCAAGATCTTCATTAGTTCTTTAACTATAGATGGTGGCCCCTTTGAAGCGTGGATTTGTAAAAGCTCCGGCCCAAAGCAGATCTTCTCTGCTGGCAAATATGACGGTGCTTTCTGATTATTCTTGTCCTCTCTGGAGAACCTATTCCTACACTGTCAAATTACAGAATAAGGTCCGTCGAGAACGCATCTAATTCGGAGCAAACTCTCATTGACCTCCGATATGTATGCAGATTGCATGTTCTGTTCTTCATGGAAATAAATAATCACCATATATAGACTATTGCACAACGAGGAGCATGCATATGGAACGATATGATCTTCAAGTAAATTCTAGCAATTTTTTTCAAAAATGGAAGGATAAGTACGTTCAAGTGATCGAGTTTGCACCCGGTAATCTATTGTGTAAATGGTGATTATATCTGCCAAATAATATTTCTTGGACGTGCCTACATCATTTTACTAAAAAATAGTAATTAATTTTATTCCTTTTTTCCCATGCACTTGCTTTCAGATAAAAAAAATACATTATGATGTTTATTACACTATAACCATAGCACTAGTATAGAATCTTTGATTATTTATATCTTTTGAACTATACATTATATTATTTTAAAGATCCATTTGAACCATCGTACTCTACTAAAAAAAATATAACAAAATTAGTCCAATATTGAATATATTTAAATTGTATTCTTTTTCTATAGCAATATTATTACTTCAAATACCATGAAGAGTTGCTTTTCGTTAATTGTATAATTACTTTTAATATTATGAAGATTTATTCTTTTCCTAGGAGTTACTTCTAATACTTTGAAGAATTACTTTTCTCCAACAGCGTAGTTACTCTAACACCATGAAGAGTTAATTCTATTATTTTCTGAGTTACTTCCCCCTAACTAGTAGTTACTTCTAATACTGTAAATATAAATAGTTATACTTCTATTTTGTTAAGAGTTTCTTTTCTATATGATGTAAAATTAATTTGGAAAATAATATAATGATTACTTGAAATACCAGCAAGAGTTTCTTCTAAGCTATTTCCCTTTAGTAGCATCTTTACTTCTAATATAATATTTTCTGAAAAGTTGGCATAAATTACTTTTTCTTAAAAACAATAATATATATAAGGATTACCTGAAATGAAAAAATTCATGTATTTATTTCTGATCCTGCTATAGACTTGACGTATGAAGATCTTTATTTCAACACTGATATGTAATTATTTTTAATCCTATAAAAAGTTACTTCTATTAAGCTTAGTTACTTCTACTATTTAAATAAATTACTTTAAGGTATTTAAATATATTCAACATTGGACTTATTATATATATGTAAATAAATATATTTTTAGTAGAGTTTAATGGTTAACACGGTTCTTAAAAATAGAAAATATAAATTATCAAATATTGAAAAATAGACTAGTAAAGTACCACAGGTTAAAGCGTGGCAAGGATACAATGGAATAAATTCCGAGTCAGTATGACCGTGATGACTTTTCGTGCATGCGTCGGATTAGATTCCCAATTTGATCCTCATCTAATATTTTTTTTAGATCCTTTCAAAATGATCGCCCTCTAGACTAAATGGGTATCATTGAATATGCTACATACAACCAACTAAGATTAATTTTTATTAGTGCAACTCCATACAATAATTTAAAACATGATGCAATTTACTGGACACAGAGCGATGTAGCACCTTTACCTATAAAGATTAATTTAAGAGTGATGAAGGGTTTATTGTCTTTATCTCTGCAACCTTCTTATTAGCTAGATATATAACCTCATGTAACACACCACTTGTTTCAGAATAATATAATAATAGAGGACTTTTGCAATACAAGTATATGTCGCCAATGTAAAAAAAGGATAATCTAAAAATTTATCACAAATTAAAGGCAAAATTTGCTACAAGACATCTAAAGTTTGTGTTTTTGGGTACATGACACTACAAGAACGTGATTTTACTATAGGCACCGCAAAGAAAGGTATTGGTTGCTGGACACACGCGGTATTATCTTATTATATCTAAAAGAAATGGAGAGATGAATATTCATTAAATACAAATTTGACCATGGGCCAACTACTTTCAAACCGACTGTGAATGGTTGTGGATTAAATGATGTGGATTCAGATATATGGATTATCTGTGGTATGGATTATCTAGATATGTGGATTAACTGTGATCATTAACCGATGGAAAGGGGCAGATTCGTACTCTCATCGACGCTTCTCTTTTTTTCTTCCGGACATAATTATCACTTTTTTGGCGCCCTCCTGCAGAAATGCATTCTTGCAGTGTCCTCCAGTAAATAACACAAACTTTGGATGTTCTATTGTAAATTTTACCCAAAACCAAAATAAAAATCAAAGTGGCAGTGCAGGATGCTTGTGATGGCGAGTGGTGGTGGCGGTGCGTGTGGGGGAGGCGGCGAGGGCCATCCGAGTTTGTGGAAGGAGGTAATTCCTATCAATTATGCATGTTCATCAGTTCTAGCACATAAAATTCCACTCACTACTAAAGAAAGATTTTTCAAAACAATCAAAATCGATTTTTACATGCGGTTGTCGGACACGCATGGGTGAAAAGGTCTACGAAAATCGCTATTTTCCTATGCGGGTAGCGCAGCCGTATGCAAAAAGGGGATTTTCGCATGCGGTCCCCTAAGCCAACCGCATGCGTAAATATTTTCAGCCAAAAAAAATAAAAAAAACCCTAGCCAACCCACCATGTGCCGGCCGCACGCTCCCACTGCCGCTGCCCACCGCTCGCTCCCACGGCCGCCGCTCGACGCTGTCAGCTCTCGTCGTCGTTGTTGCCCGCTGCCGCCCGTCGCTACCACCCGCCGACGCGTCCGCCCGCCCGTCGTCTCGCCTGCCTGGTCTCCCGAGGTCGAGGGTGGCGGATCGATCGGCGCCGACCTGCCACCGCAACCACCGCGCCTCCCTACCGCTGCTCCCATTGTCGCCCACCCAACCACTGCTCGCTGGCCATCCATCGCCCGCCCGTCATCAGAAGCCGCCACCACTGGCCATTGCGGGCGCCGAGCCCGCTGCCAGCTGCTGAGAGAGAAAGGACTAAGGCCCTGTTTAGTTCGCGAACGAAAAATTTTGGTGTGTCACATCAGATATACGGACACACATTTGAAGTATTAAACATAGACTAATAATAAATGTTTATTCAGCCTTATTAATCCGTCATTAGTAAATGTTTACTATAGCACCACATTGCCAAATCATGGCGAAATTAGGCTTAAAAGATTCGTCTCGCAATTTACACGCAATCTATGTAATTAGTTTCTTTTTTTTGTCTATATTTAATACTCCATGCATATATCCAAACATTTAATGTGACAGCATGAAAAGTTTTTGTTTGTGAACTAAACAAGGCCGAAGAGGAGAAGACAAGGTTGCCAGTGGAAAATGTTGAAGTGGTGGAGAGTGAAAGAGGAGGCAAATCAGACTTCTAGGTGGCTCCTTAAAAGGCCTCCATGCAAATATCGATTTTCACATGCGGGCCTCTTAAGTAGCCTTATGCAAAAATGCCCGCTCAATTTTTGCAGATGCTGCCATGTTCCGTCTACAACTTAACGAGGTTCTCGTTCAAGAAAATCATTTTTATATAGTAGTGACTCTCCCACTGCCATAAAGTGCAGGCGCAGCTAAAGTTTATATATATGGGAATTAAGAAGAGAGGTGAAATTAATTGAAATGAATATGATTAGTTGAGAGTTGAGATAAGGAAATAGCTAGGTATAGAAATTAAATAAGATATGGTTATGATTGGTTGATATAAGAAAGTAAGTGTATAAGATTCATTCTGGACAAATTTTAAACGTTAGTCCCCGCTTCGTATTATAATATTATAAGTTGTTTTGATTTTTTTTTCTAACTCAATTTTTTTAGTTTAACAAAGTTTATATAGAAAAATATAACAACATTTACATCAGCAAATTAGTTTTATTAAATCTAATACTGAATATATATTTGATACTATATTTGTTTTTGTGTAAAAAATATTATTATGTTTTCCTTTAAAATTAATTAAATTTGAAAATTAGTAACGAGGGGAGCACATGTTACTATATCTTAACACAAAGAGAGGAAAGTTAATTTGGAATACCTCCCAGGTGCTTGTTGGCTTGCTACGAACTGCAAGCTTCTGTCCGGTACGTGCAAGTCGATTTCATCACTTGATCACGCCGATGCAGGGTGGACGCTTGTAATTGGCTAGGTGACAAATCTCATCTGCCTAATTTAATCACCGGCAAAAGAATATCTGCTTGTGACCCCACATGTCAGCCACTGCTACATTACTCCTACGGAAAATTTCGAGCAATTAATACTGTATATATATACAACTACAATGTAGGCACCTACACTGCTACACATCACTTCCTAATTGATTAAGCCAAGCTCAGAGTGATTCGACCAAAAAAAATAATTAAGGGTATGTTTAGATCCCGGCAAAAATTTTCACTGTCTCATATCAAATATTTGGATACATGTATAAAGTATTAAATATATGAAAAAAACTAATTATACAGATTACGTGTAAATTGCGAGACGAATTTTTTAAGCCTAATTACTACATGATCTGAAAATATAGTGCTACAGTAAACATGTGCTAATGATGAATTAATTAGGCTTAATAAATTAATCTCGTAGTTTATAGACGAAATATGTATTTTATTTTATTATTAGTCTGTATTTAATACTTTAAATATGTGTCTGTATATATATGATATGAAACCTAAAAACTTTTTACCCTTTATCTAAACACAGCTCTTTTAGATCAAAAGTTGATTCGGGGAAAAAGTAATTAAGCTAGCTACTAGCTCACAACTGCATATATATCGAGTGATCGACTGAGCAGTGAGCACACACACATATCGCCGTGACGTGCACGCCAGCTCGCCGTCGGCGACCATGGGTACGGAGAGCGATCAGTACCCGGCGCACCTGTCGTCGTCGGCGACTGTCGCCGGGCATGGCGACGACGGCGGCAGCAGCACGAGGAGGAGGGAAGGGGCGGCGGCGGGTGGTGGTGGTGGGCATGCGGCGAGTGCCGAGCTGGAGCGCATCCTGGCGGACGAGTCGGTGCCGTCCGCGGCGCGGCTGGCGCGCGCGGCGCCCGTGGAGCTGCGGCTGCTGGTGGCGCTCGCGGCGCCGGCCGTGGCGGTGTACATGATCAACTACGCCATGTCGATGTCGACGCGGATCATCTGCGGCCAGCTCGGCACGCTGGAGCTCGCCGCCGCCTCGCTCGGCAACGTCGGCATCCAGGTCTTCGCCTACGGCCTCATGGTACGCCATGCTAACTACTATACGTAGTAGTACATATATATTTTCAGTAGTTGCATGATCCTCCTATCATGGAAGAATAACGTAATATTGGTCGATTGGGGTCAGATTTTATCAGATTGAATATCAAATCAAATCAAATAAGAATAAAGAGTAGGCCCGAACCTGAAAACCGGCCTTTATATTACAAAAATTGATTCTTTCAATTTGGATTTGTATTGGTGTTGCCTTACACAATTTTTTCTTGACTTTATTACCTTTTTATTTTTGCGATTGGCTTTCACAAAGTATAAAACGTATAACGTATAACTCATAGTATCAAATGTTTGGATATCTATTTACAAGGGGGTTGCATAGGTGCTTTGATAATTCGATTAGTATGCATAATAATATAACTCATATTTTTAACCACTAGAGCAAATCAACAAGCTCTCAATTAGACACACATCATGTGGCTGATTCGAGAAATGACTGATTAATATTCCCTCCGTTTTATACTATAAATCGCTTTAGTTCTTGAAAGTTTGACCAAACTTATAAAAAAAATATAACAATATTTATAGCACTAGATTAATTTTATTAAATATAAAATTGAATATATTTTGATAACTTCTTTATTTTATGTTGAAAATATTGCTATATTTCTTTTATAAAACTAAATCAAAGTTAAAAAAGTTTGATTTAGAAAAAAGTTAAAAAAAACTTATGAAATAGAGATAGTATATTTGAATATCGACAAATTAAATTACTAGTTATTTCTTTCGGTGCGAATAAGATCAAGGAGTGTCGGAAGTAAAATTTTATTAAATTATCTTCACATCAAACTGTTCCTTGTATTGTGTTGTTCGGTTCTTGTTCCTATTTTGCAAGGGACCGAGAAGAGAGATTCCTATGGGTGCAACCGGAATAATGCTTTGCATTTAATTAACTTCTTTTAGCCGTCAGACCAAATTAATGCGAACGGATAATAGCGATCGCTGTATTAGAGCAAGTTTAGGGCCGGTTCACTTTAATGCTATTTTCAATCATACCATTTTTTAAAAAGTTATAAAAAATGTGACGTTTAATTTGTTACCAAAATTGGTAAATACATAAGAAATCATGCTTAAATTTTGGCAATATTACAATCTTGCCAAAATTTAGGCATTGACAAAATTTGGTAAGGTTTATTTTAGCTACTATCTGAACATGCCCTTAATAATATAATGAATTACTAGCTCCAAAAAATAGTAAATCATTTATAACTAACTTAATAGCCTATAAATACAATAGTTAACTATAAATCTGTAGACCGCTTTTCCTCTCTACCTCTTCTCTTTCCTCCATATAAGAGCAAGGCTAATAATATAGCCAGCTGCTTACTTTATAGATCTTTATAGCCTATCTCTTAGCCAACTCATATAGTGGTTAGCTCTCTTAACTATTAATATATGGTCCACCTGTCACTCTCACAGATTTTTTTGGTTCCTGTGCCAAAGCCAGCTATAAGCTTACCACCCGCTTTTCCTTTTTCTCCTCTCCTCTCTCATCCACCTCAGCATTAAGCCTTCTTATCTCATCCACCTCAGCATTAAGCCTTCTTATAGCCTTCCTCAGCATTAAGCCTTCTTATAGCCTTCTATTATACTTGCTCTAAGCACAAATATAACGTGGTAACATCAATAACCTGCTTAATGATATCATCTTATTGTACTTGTTCTTAATATTCTATCTGTAAGTTAACAACGCGGTTAACACAACAGTATACCCAACAAATAATACTATCAATACAGTAAAGTGGATGCAGCTCTCTGCTTTACTACTAGGGCTATGTTTAGATCCAAAGTTTGGATCCAAACTTCAGTCCTTTTCCATCACATCAACATGTCATACACACACAACTTTTCAGTCACATCATCTTCAATTTCAACCAGAATCCAAACTTTGCGCTGAACTAAACATAGTCTACACATTATTGTCATGAGAAGGGAATATATATACCTCCCTTGAAGGGACAGGTTGGAAAGAAAAAAAAATTCCTTTACACTAGACCCAATCATTTAATTTTTTTTCTAGACACTACAAATATAATATATCTCAGAATATGAGAAAAACATAGGGGAACTTCTACAAGTAAGAAACAATAAAATCAAGAAATTACCATTAAAATTTGCCTAAACTGAATATAATAGATGGCAATGAAACTCAGCTATAAGGTTTTGCCAGTTATAAGGTGACAACAGAAGAAAAGGAAAACAGTTAAAAAAATCCGCAAAGCCATCCTAGTATTAATAAGTTCATTTTAAGTTTTTCTTTTCTTAAATACCCTTACCAACCCTCACCTACTCACTCAATAATATTATTTTCCTATTAATAATGGGCACATTGGTTTTTCGCTCCATCTTGTTTTCAACATCTAAGGTACAAGGTCAAAGATTAAGTTAATTTAAGACATTTGTAACATAAAACAAAAGAAGTCATATGGTACACAGTATTATCACTTGAAACTTGATGGAGAAACATGTCATGCGTGAGGATCAAGGGCACTCAAAGATGGAGCGAGAGAATCAGACAACAAGAAGCGTACATATTGTCATATTGATATGACCAGCTACAGAGAGCGCCACTTTTCTCGTTTTCAGATGCCTGCGCAGAATTCTGTTTCTTGCTACAGCTAGCCATATATACCTTACCTGTTTTCAGATGCCTACGCAGAATTCTGTTTCTTGCTAACTATTTAGATCGTGCATACACGTGAAATAAAACGCCACTCAAAAGTCAAGTGCTCTCTGTTGCTAATTAAGTGGTGCTAACTGCTAAGCACCATGCATGCACACACATAAGCTTCTCCATGTTCTAACTTTATGCAACAAAGTTTCAAAAAGAAAAACTTTACATAAAAAGCGATTTTAGAGTCCTTAAGAAGTCTACGGTGACAAAGCCTAGATACCAATTGCCGTCAAAAGAAAAAAAAAGCCTAGATACCAACCTTTGTGTTATAATACATGGTATCGATCTCTTTGAGTTTTAAGAGCTGGAGTTGATAAATATTTTACTAGTAATTCAATTATTTTAATATAAGTTTTAAAAAAAATTATCCAATAAACAATGCGCTGCAGCTTGGCATGGGAAGCGCGGTGGAGACGCTGTGTGGGCAGGCGTACGGAGCGCACAAGTACGACATGCTCGGCGTGTACATGCAGCGTTCCACCGTGCTGCTCACCGCCACCGCCGTCCCGCTCGCCGTCATCTACGTCTTCTCCAAGGAGATACTCATCCTCCTCGGCGAGTCCCCGGAGATCGCCGGTGCCGCCCGCCTCTACGTCGTCGGCCTCATCCCGCAGATCTTCGCCTATGCCGCCAACTTCCCGATCCAGAAGTTCCTGCAGGCGCAGAGCATCGTGGCGCCGAGCGCCTACATCTCCGCGGCCACGCTCGCCGCGCACGTCGCCCTGAGCTGGTTCGCCGTCTACAAGCTTGGCCTCGGCCTGCTCGGCGCCTCGCTGATCCTCAGCCTCAGCTGGTGGGTCATCGTGCTGGCGCAGTTCGCGTACATCGTCGTCTCCGACAGGTGCAGGCTGACGTGGGCCGGATTCTCGTCCAAGGCGTTCTCCGGCTTGCCGGAGTTCCTCCAGCTGTCGGCCGCGTCGGCGGTGATGCTTTGCCTCGAGACGTGGTACTTCCAGGTCACGGTCCTCATCGCCGGCTTGCTCAAGGATCCGGAGATCGCCCTCGACTCTCTTGCAGTGTGGTTAGTAAAGTACAGTATCACATTCAGTTAATCATCCAATAATGCAACCTGATGAGGATGAAGTGTGGTGCGTGATCGATGCTTGATCTTAATGCCACTGATAATGATCTTCAAATTATTCTTCCAGCATGTCAATATCAGGATGGGTGTTCATGGTGTCGGTTGGCTTCAATGCAGCAGCTAGGTAATTGTGTAATTCTCTCTTCTAAGGACCAGGCATTGACACTTAACCAACAACGTGTGTACAGTAGTGGACACATGCATCGTTTCAATCATAAATAGTGAAATCAATTACATTCCATCGAGTAAGTGAGATCGAGATGCTTTTTTTTATGCATGTGAACATATATCCAACAAACTTCCTAATTAATGTCACGTCTTACTGCCATTTGGAGGTCTCATCAATCCCTATAGGGTCCCAAGTGGTTAGGTATCGATATGGATCTGCACGTACATTGCATTTTACCCAGGTGCATGCAGGGGTGGGTCAGGACGATATCCCAACAAAGCGAGATTTAGTACCTCCATAGTACATGTTTATGTACTTATGGATCTGCAAATTGATATAAGCTTAAAGTGCATCATCTCACAATCTCAATTGTACTACTAAATGGAACTCATTTATATATATTATGGCCCTGTTTAGATCCATTTGAAATGGCAAATGGCAAATGACAAAAGTTTTGGTGGCAAAAGTTTTGGTATTGCAAAAGTACTGATTGGTGTTTAGATGTATCCTAAACTTTTGTCATTCTAGCACTAAAGTGAGAGAGAGAGAAAGAGAGAGGGAGTGGTCCCAAAACACTTTTTGGCACAATTTGCTACTATGGACTAGCAAATGCCAAATGCCAAATTGCCAAGTTTTACTACTAGTATTTAGATCCAAAATGGCAAAAAGTGCTTTAAAATGGCAAATTGCTACTTTTGCCATTTCGAAGGATGTAAACAGGGTCTATGTACTTACTTCCTAAGTAATAATGTATACGGTGTTTAATTGTGCAGCGTTAGAGTGAGCAATGAGCTTGGTGCGGGCAACCCGAGGGCAGCAGCGTTCTCCGTGAAGGTGGTGACAAGCCTGTCGCTGATCGTGGCGGCAATCATAGCAGCGATTGTCATGTGCCTCCGTGAGTACCTTAGTTACGTGTTCACGCAGGGCGAAGAGGTCGCCCGTGCTGTTTCCAGCATGACCCCATTGCTCGCTGTTACCATCGTCCTCAATGGAATTCAGCCAGTCCTGTCAGGTACGTATCTAGTATATATCCTCATTTCTCGCTTGTCCTTAATTTAATTTGATATTGACCGGCCAGCTATCTACCACCGGCACGTGAATGTCGAGTTTCAATGTGTATTGTTTTTATATATTTTTAGAAACTTTAGTTTAATTCCTGCTAAAATGGAATATAGCTAGTATAACAATAAATTATTGTCTTATATATTTATTGAGTTAGATGTCGACATACAATAATCTAGGAGTAAAAAAATATGTATACCTCAGTCCCTAAAAGACTTCTTATTGAAGTATTTGTTAGTTCATTGCATTGTCGCATGCATAACAAGTAAAAGAAAATAAATAGTTAGTTACTTAAGCAGTCAGATAATCATATTTACAAAATATGGACTGCATACGACAACTAAATGCTGATAACGAAGAACCATTCGAATAAACTAGGAAGGAAGCCCGCGCATTTGCGCGGGCATGTGTTGTACGTTAAGTTTGAGATAAGTACAAGAGCAAAATATTAAACGGAGAACATCTGCCACGATTTGTCCATGAATTATTTTCATCAGCATTAATTGCTCAATATGTTAATTTCTGACCTATTAGTTTTACATTATATCATATTTAAGTAATATCTATAAGCAATTATTTATAATCTTCTTTATCATTTGAAAATAAGGTAGACCTTTTTTTTAGAAAACATGTAAACGAAAGTAAAGTAAGGTGTTTTTTTAAATTGCATATCTATTATAATAATTCATTTAAGGATGAATTGGGTGGGAATGAAGCTTCACTAAATGTATGGGTTTATATAGGCTAATACGATTGATGTAGTTTGAGAGGTCATCCATCTATGAACATTTCATGTAGGGTGGGTGAGAGGCTCCATACAACCCAACATGAATACAATAATGATGAAATATAATTGTGTAGTAATATTTTAGAAATTTTATGTATCATGAATACATGCTTAACTTTTATATAAGATAGATCTAATGGTTATAATTAATAGTTCATCGATTTAAAAGGCATAAAAGTATTCCAATAACGTAGCTTAAAAATTATGATTGTTTTAATAATCAACGTTATTGCGAAGTGAGCGCAGCTCAATTAATTAGGTTTCATGTGGTGGAACTTGCCCACCTGGTTCAAGTCCTAGACTTGACACGGGTGCCCGTATTTACGGCTAATTATTCTTTCAGTGGTAGGTGATGTACCTATCGACAGCGAGACACCCGTGGTGACTCAAAATGTGTCGACTCAGTTTCTTGGAGGTACTCAAAGGGGTGCTGTGTTTCTAAAAGAAATCCAATATTATTGATTGTTTCTATTTTAGTTTAATAGCTAAGAAATAGCAAGGAGACAACAAAACTTATTTGCATTTGTTCTTAAAAATATATGGATTAGTGAACAATAGCTAGTCCGTATAATATATATAATCCAAAGTAATGAATTTTTTAATAATATAGTTAACTTGATTCTTTAATTTTAAATTTTATAGTAAATAATCTAATTTATCTCTTACTTAGGCTACATTCGATCTCATTGGTTGAGCTTATGCAGTGCACGAAAAACGATGTAGGTCATCAACGCAATATTAATTAAGTATTAAATATTACAAACATGAAAATAGATTTTTTTTAAAAGTATAGAAAGTATTTGCAAAACATGAACAGTTTAATAGTTCGGAGAATATGCTCAAGATAAGGTATAGTCAATTTGATAAGCACTTAAGAATTCAACCTTAAATTTATTAATTATGTACTTAAAAAATATATACAAATCAAAAGCGCAGATTGAGTCATTAACGGCTAAAATCCTGACTGTGTTTTGTTAGAAAACAATGCGACATATTTTTAATTTCTGACAATATGTCCTGAGTAATATTTTAATTACTCATTATTTCATCTTGAACTATCAATGTAGGCCCATTGATGCAAATAAAATCTATCTATTCTCAACAATTGTAGTGTGAAATGATACGTTTATTTGATATTTTATATTATATTATAGATCTATTTTTGGATGTGCATGTTTTATGAAGTAATATATTTTTCTTGTACTACCACATTCACTAAATATATATTTGATGTTGATTACCATAAAGAAAATAAAAAAAATCCAGAGGAATTATAATAGAAAAACTAGCTTAAAATCGTTGTTTTCTTTCGGTAGTTTCACTAAATATTTAACGTTGGCTGTCATTAAAAAAATACGGAGAAAGTGAAAATCCAGTTTAAAAGCTATGTTTTTTTTCCAAGTAGTACGTATATATGCAGTATGCTTTTTTTCTTTTTTGTTGTATGTCATTTCTTCTTTTCTCGTTTGTGGTTGTTAACTTGTACGTACGTATGCCTTCTTGGCTTATTCCGGCCAATATTTTTTAGGTAAGAATTACATGGTAAATTAGGAGGGATATATTACTATTTATAATGGATCTAATCTAACGGTGTAAATTAATAGGTCCACCAACTTAAATGAAAATCGAGGGCTAGATTAGTTTCCTTTTCTTTAAATTTCTAAGATTTTCTCTATTTTATTAAAGCGCCATGTGGCAACTTGAGAGCATTTTTAGAGCGCTATGTGGAAGCATGAGAGCGTTTGTAGAAAGTTTAATGGACTTTTAGTATATAATAGATAGATAGATAGATAATAGATAATAGATAGATAACCGAAATAAAATTATATATCCAGAATAGACCTAAGAAAACATGGTCCTAAGTAATAGGCATTCTATTAACTTTGTTTTAATAATGTAATATCTATTTTCTCTCTGTCAAAAAAGTTAGATTGCCCCACTCACAATACTAAAAAATGATTTTCTGGACGAGCACTCCAATAGGTTGTAGATGGGCCATAAGTGTTCGTGTCTTCAAAACTCGACCACCATTTTCCCATACGGCTCCTTAAGAGATCCGCATGCAAAAATTATTTTTTCCAAGCGGGTCACTTAAAATGTTCGCGTGTGGGCTCTTTAACTCACCCGCATGCAAAAATCCCCCCTCTCCTCTTCCCACTCTTTTATTACTGTTCTCCCCAGCTCTCTTCTCTCTGTCTCCCACCGCCCACTATCCTCTCCCGGCTCTCTCTCTCTCTCCCCAACTCCTCTCAAACTCCTCTCCCCTATACCTCTTCTCCCGGCCTCCTCCTCTCCCCACCTTCTCGCCCCTTTCCTCCGGTGGCGGGATCCGGTGGTAGGAATGCGTCACGGCAGCATATCTGGCGGTGTCGAGATGCGGCGGTGGCAGATCCAGTGGTGGGGAGGCACAGGAGAGACGGATCAGGCTCCCCCTCCCATGCGGCGACAGCAACGACGACTTGCGGTGGTGGCAAGCGGTGGACCCAGCCACCCCTACTCCCGCAAGATGACGAGGACAAGGACAAGGATGGGGACGGTGACAAGATGACGACGACGACGACGACGGCTTCGAGCAACGATGGCGACAATGACCCGGCGGCTTCGAGCAATGAAGGCGGCGACGAGTAGGGCGGCGGGGTCTTCTAGGGTTAGAGTTTCGTGATTTTTGGATTTTATTTTATTTTTTCTTTTTATTTTTGTGTGTGGATGACGTAAGCATCTGGACTATTTCCATGTGCGGGTGCGCCACCCACACGCAAAAAAAAAAGATTTTCGCAGACCCCTTGGTGCATGTGGGTCGCCCAGCCGCCTACGAAAAATGGATTCAACCTTATGGAAAAATGCATTTGGTAGTAGTGGATCACTTCAACCTCTCCGGGTGCAGTTTCAACACATTTGTTGATGGCTATATATTTCTCTGCATATATGTAATATTCGGCTTTTCCATAAAATAATATGGTTAACTAAGCATGTCGGGAAATTGTACCTAAATCCTTATAACACTATTCTATAGGTGTGGCGGTTGGATGTGGATGGCAAGCTTTCGTGGCATATGTTAATATCGGATGTTACTACATCATCGGTGTTCCGTTTGGTTGCGTTCTTGGATTTCACTTTGATTTGGGTGCTATGGTAATGTCTTATTCTACAACATAAGTGTTATTCCATGTCATTTATATTACTGTAATTAAATGTAAGCAATAATTATTTTTATGTTTGACATGAAGGGGATATATGGTGGAATGATCGTCGGATTGTTTGTTCAAACTCTCATTCTTGTTTATGTCACATTTCGTACAGATTGGAATAGAGAGGTAGTTGGAATCTGTTCAAATTTCTCCAATTTAAATCTACATTGAATTTTCGGTATTTATGGTTCTTTGATCCATCTTTTCCATATGTAAGTGAGATAATGCTTCCTTACCTTCAATATAATGTTTCTTACAGGTAGGAGAAGCAAAGAAGAGGCTCAACAAATGGGGTGACATAGCGAAGCCACTTCTCGCTAACGAAGATTGAACAAAATGGCATATTTAGAGTGCCAAGTTGATTTGATATGATGCTATATATGGGAAGCTGGATGTACGTTTCTAGTTTGAGACATTATGCCGTATATGTGTATAGGGCCAAATTAATCTACGTACCAGCCGAAATTTGATGTTTCTTCTGAATGTACTCTTTTGATTTGTTATTAATCTTTCGTACTGGCTAATGTAACCAAAATGCCCAAATTAATCTAGACATCTTGTTCCCTGTATAGTTAGTGAGATGCAACCGGGACACACAATCCGAGACTAAAAATGGACTAAAAATCAACCAATACTAAAGTTGTTTTTTCACTGCTTTTTTATATATACGTATAAATACATAAATACCTATGTACGTGTGTATATATATAGGACTATTCTATATGGCAAGACTATATTCTATACCCCTCCCCAGCTCATCCTATCTCTCCCATGGACCTCCACTCCCCTGGGCGCACATAACCTCTTCCCTTCTCGTGCACGCGCGTCGCCTCTCATCTCTCTTCTTCCCGCGTGCTCCCCCCTCCCCCACCATCTCTCTCTCCCCCACCCTTTTTTTCTCTATTTTTTCACCTTAGAAAGAATTAAAAATTGGAAACTTTTTTTATCTATTTTTTCACCTTAGAAAGAATTAAAAATTGGAAAGGCAAAACTAAGACTTGAACTCATAACCTCATGATTAATAGCAAGCTCTTTTAATCAACTCACCCTTTGACACTATATGATTAGAGTTTATCATTTGATTTCTATATGTATCTCTATTCAAACTTTAGAGAGCAAATCACTCATGTTATTGTGAAACTTATAACTTGTTATTATGTTAGTAGTAACATTATCGCAGAAATACAATAAAATTGCATGTTACTGCAGAATTTATAGGTTATTACTGTACTTTTGACATTAACATCTTGATGAAATTGTAGTAACAAAAAATATGTAGTAGTAACAATACTGATATAGTACTATTGCTTATGCTGAGCTTTAAAATCCTAATTTTATAGTAGTAGTGTTCTTGTACTAGTGTTTTAGGTAAGAGATGTGCATTGTCAGAAGTTGGTATGAGTGCTAATAGTACTTCTCTTTGGACACACAAAGTTACATAGTAGTAGAAAGCTAAGTACATGTGTTATTATTTTTTTTCTCTTTTCTAGAAAAATAAAAAATAAATTGGTAAATTCAAGACAGCTAAGTACATGTGTTATTATTTTTTTTCTCTTTTCTAGAAAAATAAAAAATAAATTGGTAAATTCAAGACTTGAATCCATGATATCATAGTTCATAGCAATCTCTTCTAACCAATCCATCTAATAATGCTATTTGTCTTAAGGATTACTGTTTTTTTCTTTTGTATCTCACTTTGTGAGAAAGAAATATGGTGACCGATTCTAACATCCTGAAAATTAACTACTTTCTAATCCTGCATCATGCCAATTCTTATGTTTCTAATAAGCTTCTAAACCTAGGAAAAATTAGAGGGCCCTCCTAAAACTAATTTGCATTTAATTTCTTTCATTTAAAAATATATTTGATTAAATTGAGGTATTTCTGTTTGGTTTTAATTTAAACCCTTCTTACAACTAAAATCCTTTATTCAAATTATTTAAAAACATTTTATGAATTATGGTCCAAGAAACCCTCCAATATTATTCTTTGAACCCAAACCACCATAATTCCAATCTTATTAGATTTATTCCTTGACAAAACCTCTGATTTAGACTTATTTTTAATTCTCCATCCAAATATCTTTTCCAACCTCTAAACTCCTATTTTCTTATCTAGTCTCCACTCTAATTTCTATAGTTCAATTCCATCCTAGCTCCATCCTTGGCACAAGAATAATATTATTACAAATAAGTAGAATGATTGCTCTTGTGCTAAGAAGATATAATTTAGCCTTCCATCCCTAATCCAAACATAATTAATCCTCTAAATTTCATACCACATATTTTGGGCTAAAATTCTGTTTATTCCACTCCCTCCATTTGCCTTCCACATACTCAAAAGTATATCCAAAACTAAGAGCCCTATTATTCATGGTGTTGAATATTCCTATTCCTTATTGAGTGCTTCCAAATAAATTCCCTCAAATTGCACCTCAAAAAATATTGCACCCAAATAAATTGGAAAATCTCTCATTTGCCAATTTCCTCCAAATTCAAATTGTATTAGGAATTCAGAAATAGATCTTTGGGCCGAAAACTTCTCTTTCCTTCCTTCAGCCCAATCGGCCCAGCCCAAGCAGACAGCCGCTGTCCTCCTCTCCTGCGGGCGTGCGCACACAGGCAAGCCGCCGCCGCCGCTGTGGCTCTGAGCGCCGCCGCCCACGGCTTGCGCCACCGACCGCCGTCCTCCACCGCCGCCCATTGCTTTGCGCCGCTGCCGTCACCGTTCCGCGCTCTTCCCCTTCCACCGCCCAACCCTACGTCCCTACCGCGGCCGCTACGTACGCGCGCCGCCATTGATGTCCATTGAGAGGACGAGGCCGGCGCCGTCTCTTCCTCCTCCACGCTACCGTCACCATGGTCAAGCCGCCGACCACCTTCACAACCGACTTACTCCACCGCCGCTCTTCTCCTATAAATACACGGAAAGACTTGCCATCCCTCACCACACCCGAGCTCCTCGAGCTCTCCCTCTCTCTCTCCATCCATGTCCGGCCGTCACCGCCGCCGGTCGATCTCCTCCTCCAACCATCTACCTTTCTTCCTCTGCTGTACACTGACCTCCCCGGATGCGCGTCGTTCGGGAACACGTTTCACCACTGACACCGCCGTTTTCTGTCCACCAGAGCACCGGCGCCCTTCTCTCCCTCCTCTCGGTTCCCTAGCAAGAGGCAGAGAAGAAGACGACGGGAGGAAGAAGAAGAAGGAAAAGAAAAAGAAAAGAAAAGCCTGACAGGTGGGCCCATCAATAGTAATTTTTCGTATTTTCTAGATTTAATTAAAATCCTATTCTTTATAAGCCCATATCTCCTAAACCGTAGATCCGATTCTAGTGAAACTTAACCTAAATTCAAACTCTACATTTTAGTACTAAATTTACTATTTTAATATTTTTATTTGATTTTCCTTAATTTATTTAAATACCATTTGAATTTATATTTATTTAAACTTATATTTGAATTCCAATTTAAAATTATATTTGCCTTTCAAATATTTCCCTTTATCCCAAAATACCTATTAGCTACTAAAAAGCCACCGGTTGAAATTTTACGCCTTCCATGGGGACGTTCATGGGCTACTAGCCCCGACGTCGGACCATTGGTTGTAAAGCCCGGCAGAACCAAACCCAAGCTCCAAGTGCTGCACCTGGCACCACACGCCTTGATGCGTACAGCGGTTGGAGCTTCACTATTCCCTCGACCTCCACAGCACGCCGCATAGTTAGCTCTCGGGCTCTGTGTGATCCTAGTCGCTCCACCGCCACCCACGGTTGTCGGAGTAACACTTCCACCCTGCTAAACTTGCACCAACTTCCTATTCTCTAGCTGATATGCTATCTGTTGACACTAGAGAAGGTACCAAATCTAGTCGTTATACGGTCCAACTCTAGCAACGACTAGCAAACAACCAAACCCTAGCCGATATGATGCCCTACTCCATGATCAACTCAAATGTAACTAAGTGTCGACGTTTGATGTCGCGATTCCGGTATTTGCATAGTATGGGGATCATTGGTACTAGGATATATGCGAGATTGTAGTAAAAAAGATGGAGACGAGGATTTTTATACAGGTTCGGGCCCCTGAATTGTCAGGTAATAGCCCTACATCCTGTTGGCCGAAGCCGATCGTTGCTCTTATTCATCATAATCACACTAGTACAATATTTGGGGTAGTCTATCTAACTGTTGTCGACATGTCAGTTTGAAGTTCTGACTCGTAGTCGACAACAGGGTAGCCTTCCTCCTCGAATCCGTATCCGGCGAGATCAGAGATAGCGCTATATCTCTCCTGACGGTATCCATAGGCATCGTAGGGGACTAGCCATGCCTATCTCTGAAGTCGATATCCGGCATCGTGTCTTGGCGTATGTTGGCTTGTACGTTGATCTTGTGTCTTGATCTATTGTTCCGTGTCCCCTCTCCTCCTAGGGGACCTTGTATTTATACCCATAGGTGTCCCCTTGTCCAAATAGAACTAGGGAATCCAATATGGATACAATCCAAGTAGTCCTTGTCGTTTCCATGTAGAACTCTATTCATCATTCCTTATGCGGAACTCCTCCTATATCCGAAGGTTGTTTCCGTATAAGACATGGTATGTGGTGGGTTCCTGCCGAGATTTAGTCAACTACTATTAGGTATGTGGTATCCATAACCCTAACACTAAGCCTTAGGTATCATACTACCTAAACCTACCATCAACCAGCACTAGCCATATACTCGCTTTCAATTATCCAAACTACTTCCCATCCTTCCACCAATCAAAGCCTGCACACAAAATATAAGCGACCATAGTTGCTTAATCCCCTCTCCACCTTAGCCTCCAATCCTTTATAACCTATACGCGAAATATTAGCCCAATAATCTCTATACCCTATAAAGGAGATAGCTTATACCCTAAACCCTAGCCCTCCTAGCCATATATCGTTCTCTTGTTATTTCATGACTTCTATTGAATTTGACTCTTCCTCTTATTAAAGTAGAGTCTATTATATTTTGGAGGCAACCTGTGGTATTTCAAGGATCGGGTAATCAGGTTGTCTAACTCGCATTTATTTGCGTTGGAGCAAGGAGAGTTATTATTCCTCCCCTAATTCGAACATAATTATCATATATTCTATATCTCCATTATCACTACAACAAACCCCCCCAAAGAAGACATTTTATTTGTAATGTAGAGACGTTTTGTTTCGTCTCCGCAAACAAGCGAGGCGCTTTTATAAAGTGTCATAGGAACGTCTTCGTTTGGACCGTCTCAAAAATATAGAGACATTTCCTAAAGCGTACCTAATTTATTTTAAGACGTTGTTAGAAACGTGGAATATCACCTCTACAGGCATAGAGACGCTTTTAAAAAACAATGTACAAGGTCCATAGACGCATCCATTAAGACGTTCTGTTGCGTCTCAGTAGTAGTATTTTAGCACATTAATTAAGACGTTCTGTTGCGTCTCAGTGGCAGTATTTTAGATATAGCGTAGTATGTATTTTATACATTTAGTATATTGTAATGAGTACGTATTGTATATAATTATATATATGGATGCACATTAAATTAATCATATAT